ACTTGCTTTTAAAAAATAAACTCTAAAATGTGCTTTATACTAAAATGATGAACAAGTCTAGATAATTTTATTCCTACTTTTATGAAAATAAAAAAAAAATTTTGATTAAATTTTTGAAAATCAAAGGTTTTTACAGAAAATTATGAAAAGCACTGATTACAGCCTATGAAGTAAAAAAGGTTAATATGAGTTAAAACAAATAATAGTCTAATGTAAAAGTTTGCTCCAGTAGTTTTCCAAATATAATGAACGAAAAGAAACGTGGGTACTCACTCAATGTAAACAAACAGATGAACCTGCTGAAACCACATGGAGTCACGCTTGACCTTCATTAAACTGTAGTCTGTGAAAAAACAGAGTGGAATGAAGAATTTTGTAGAATACGTTTAGGTTTAAGTTTAACCTTTGACCTATTTTTAGTTTATTTTTTTCTTTTTCTTCTGTAAATAAATAACATGTGACATCTGGCTTCCAGTTACAATTTTTCGTTCAAGGACCCATTAATCATTATTATGAGAAAAGCATTGTGCATCTTTTATTTCATGCTTGTTTTCGTAACTTTTCAATGTGTGCCTTTTAAATTTGTAAAAGATATGAAAACGCTTAGCCAAGTTTTGAAAAAGGCAGCTTGGGCAAATTAAATCTTAAAAATTCACCCCTAATTGTTCTTGAAACACACGCTACACCCCTTTAAATCCAGCACTATTGATATTTATTGCATCTGAGAGACAGATTTTTAAATATCCTCAAATTTCAGGATTTCAACATATGCATTTCTATTTTTTTAAGCTTTTATTTTGATAGGAGTAGCCTAAAACCACACAAAAAGCCCTTACTGCTGCCAAATAGGACACAAACCTGATGGATCAGTGCCAGCATTAGGAGTTGGTGCAGTTTAGTAGAAACCCATCTTACTATGAGAGGATCAGCGATGAAGACGAGCAGCACCTGGAGTTGTGACGTGAGATGTTGCAAACTATTTTCTGAATAAAGCCCAACACTGGTGAAGATGTAAAGAACTGATAAGGAGCATGGAAAGCATTATGCTACAGTACTTTAGTCTAAATGGCTGAACTTCACTTTGGGCCAACAACAACACTGTGGTCTGTGCCAAAGTGGCAGCTGCTGTATCACCTCCTCACGTCTGCCTCCGACAGGCTCATTCCATGGTTAAAACAAGACGGAGCCACATTATGGAGAATCAAACAAGCTGTGCAGTTCTATATCTTTTGTCACAAATTATATGCTTTATCGGCATTTTTTTCAAACGTATTAAAGAAAGCACAGGTGGAACTAACTAAGATAATTACGACTGGGCTCCATTTTCATATTTATTGGTCAAATTTATCAATAAATGGAAAATTGCTCTGTGGACAACAATTTTCCATTATAGGGGATTTTTGATCCATAGCCAAAATAACTTTTAATGGTCTTTCATACTGTGCTTAGTCTGTTGATTCTTGCTAAAAGGTTTTTAATCTTAAATCTTTTTTTTATTCAATGTGAAAATTATACGGTTTAAAAGTCCAGTTTAAGATAAAAATCTGTTGTACAAGTATATTTTGGACATTTCCTGCAGACGCACAGAAACAAAGTGACTCAGAAAACAAGCTAAGCTTATTTATTTATTTTTCATATTAGCAAAGACAACAAAAACCAAGTCTGGAAACAATGAAAATGAATACTAAGCTATTAGAAGACGTGCACTTACTGTTATAGCATATTTAACAATAAAAAAAAAAATCTAAAAACATTAAATTCATTATTTAAATGGAGTTGCCCTGTTTTAAAATAACAGTTAATCAGTTTTTATGAGGTGTGTATTTGATTTAATGTCTTCCACCAACACCAAAGTGTGTTTTTGCCCATCTGTATTCATGTGTCTGTTAGTAAAATAGTTTATGAACCACTGAACGGGTTTTAAAGAAACTCTCTCATAGTAATCACAGAATGAACTTCAACTGATTCACTTTTGGAGTCGATCCAATTAAGGAGAGTTGCCACGGCTACCCGACGTTAGGAAACACAAAAACGGCAACAATTCAGTCAGTTTCATAGATACCGAGCTAAAGTTTGGTGTGGTAGTAGCTGCGAATCAGTCACACAGACCATGCGAGGTCTCAAACTTTCACATAAGATTATTTTCAGAGTTTGACCCATTATTCAACAGTGATGATTTTAAATGTTAGCATGAAAAGCGGTGAGTAGCATGTATTCTTTCAAGGAATTTTAGGCCTTTGTTTCAGTTTATTCTTTACAAATAATGATGTAATAAATGAAACCCCAACTCTTTTTTTGTACAAGTTGAGATCAAATGTCATGAATGTTTCCTGAGGGGACACAAACCAGGAAACTCAGACTAATATAAGTGCTTTTGTCTGCCGTCTGTAGAATTTTATGTTTGTTTTACGAAACTATATATGTGGATTTTAACCCGATTAGAGGCTTAAACCTTCATCAGATGAATAATGGCAGCCTCTGCCTGATTGTTCCCACTGCAAAGCTGCAATAACTCTCGTAATAAAACACAGACAAGGTGTCTCGGTGGCATATTATGTGCATGAAAATTATTGGTAATACTTCTGGGAGCATCTAAATGTTTTTTTTTTTTTGCTGTTGCCCGAGACTCCAGCTCCAGGTCTGCATCCTGTCAGTCATCAGGATCAACTCAAACACAAGTGGACGTAGAACCACATCAAATGTCAGGTGCACAGAGTCCATATGAAAAGAAAGTTTTTCACACATTGTAGGCTTTAAACCCAGTTGGGATATCACTGTGTACCCTTGAGCGAGCTTCTTTACCAGAGTAAATATTTAGTCAGCTGTGTAAATGGGTGTTGTGTAAAAGCTGCAGAAGTGAACTGGCAGAGCAGGGATGGAGCCGAAGCCAAAAAGAAACGACTCCACTGAGCTATTGACTCGTGTGAAAGACACAGCAGCTTAAATTACCTTTAAAACAGAAAGCATAGAGGAAGAAGAAAAACAAAAAAGGTATATTAAAGAAAATATGGCACAAAAACTGATCTTTATGATGGGTGTTAATTTTTTTTTTTTTCTTTACACATCAGTTTACATTGAAACTTTAATGTTTAACCAAGTCCTAACCCTCAAACCGCCCTTTGGTCGAATCCAAAGTGTGAACGGGCCAAAATGTCATCAGTCTATTCAGGTTAGACATTCAAACTAGACATCAAACACACACACACACACACACACACACACACACACACACACACACACACACACACACACACACACACACACACACACACACACACACACACACACACACACACACACACACACACACACACACACACACACACACACACACACACAGTCAACATGTCTGAAAAACACTCAGCCCTCATGGCCTCACCTACATTACCCAATTACACTCGCTTTGCTTGTAATGATTGTGTGGTCTGAATGATAGCCAGCCTGTTGTGTTGTTTAGTATCACACACACACACACACACACGCACACACACACAGTCTGTGTCTGGGTGGATTTCCTCCCTGTGAGTTACAAGTAAAGACAGTGTCTCAGTAAGCAGGGTGTAGAAAACGTCTGAGACTGAAACGCGACACTTTAATGATCTGGAGAGTATCCAAAAGCTGCTTCGCCCCCGCACCGTTTTTCTCCCTTTCTTGTGAAACTTTGGCTGCGATCAGCCCCAAAGAACAGACTTGTTTGTGTGCAGGAACACCGAGGACTTGGCTGAGAAACATCACAGAGCTTACAGTAAGAGGGTGTCTTCAGGCGGAGGTGGAAGCTGCAGTGGGTGGACACCCACACGAGACATTCCTTGCACACAAAGAGCTGTAAACACGTTTCGGCTTCGTGGGGTCCTACAAATGTACAAAAAGCAGAGTGGAAAACAAACAAAAACAGAAACTGCATTTCCTGCAAAAACAAAAAACAAACAAAAAAACGCTTATTGCTTAAGAATTTGCTGAAAAACAGCTGAATACGCTAAAAACATGCTGAAATGTAAGAACAAGTCCAAGATAGCTGAAAAAAGCAGAAAAAACACATATTTGCTGAATTAGGTTTAAATGAGCAGAAATTAGCACAAAAATTAGCTAAAAAACCTGAAATTAGCAACAACAAAAAAATAGCTGAAAAGGCAGAAAGAAGCTTAAATTACCAGAAGGAAGTGGAAAGAGCTGAAATAAGCTCCAAAAATAAGGAATTAGTTGAAAATGTTAAATCTGGCACCAAAACAGCTAAATGGTAGCAGAAAAAGCTGAAACTAGCAGAAGAAAGTAAAGCGAAAAGTAGCAGAAATTACCACAAAAAAACTTAAACTTATCTGAAAACAGCAGAGATTAGCTAAAATGCCAAAAACTAGCTGAAAAGGTAGAACAAGCTTAAATTAGCAAAAGACAAACACATTTGTCCAATTATGCTGAAAAAAGCAGAAATAAGCACAAAAAAGTGGAAATTATCTAAAATAAAGATGAAATTAGCAGCAGCAAGACAGAAAGAAGCTTCAATTACCAGTAGGAAACGGAGAGTACATTTTTGCTGAATTGGGCTGGAACAAGTTTAAATAAGTGCAAAAAATGTCGAATTAGCTGAAAAAGTTAAAATAAGCGTAAAAACAGCTAAATAGTAGTTGGAAAAAGCAGAACAAGCTGAAATTAGCAAAGTTAGAAGCACAAAAATGTTGTAGTTCGCAGAAAAAATCTGAAAAGAGCACAAAACAGCTGAAATATGTGAAAATAGCCAAAAAAAATTAACATTTGCACAAGGGAACGTTTCATAAACATTCACACAACTACGTTTGATCACTCTCAAGTATTTAAATATTATCCGTTTTGATTTTAACTTAAAGATTTAACCCCTTAACAGTTTCCTGAGACCGTGTTCAGTCAGCCATGCAGCTAACAAACGCTTCAAAAGTAAAAACCTGACAGATGTGGACATCTGTTCTCAGAAACAACTGAGATGTGTAACACTGACAAAATCTCCCCAAACACAGAATCTAAGTGCCAATAAGAAGTTTATTTAATTTCAGTCAATTTTACTTTAAAAAAAAGCCACAAATGGATATTTTCTTTGTACAAACGCCTCGTTAGTTGCCATGAAATGATCCTAAAACAAATCCTTCCTGCTAAACATCTGCAGCAAGAAAACCAGTAAGGCAAATTGGAAATGATTTCTATAGATCTCTAAACCAAGCAGGCTAGAAACAAATTGGGTTTTTTTTCTTGTAATTTCTAATATGCGTTAAATTTACATACTGAAGTTTGAGTAATGAAAAAATATTTACAATTCATTTTTTTTAAGTCAGATTTGTCTCATAACAAAAATCTGAAGAAAAAAAAAATACATGGCAAATGGGAAAAACAGTTTTTCAGAGACTAACACGTACAATCGCTACCTCAGATCAGTCTACAAATTAAAAAGTGAAATTTAAACAGATATTACCAACATTCCTCAATTAGTTTAGTCATAAATATCTTTAGTGTTGCCTTCAATGACCCTTCACTGTATAGTGTCCTTCATTCTGAATGTTTTTTGTTGACTTTGCCCACAGTGAGAACAGAACAACGCACTTCTTTTTGGTTCAAGATTTATATTCTTCTGCTACAATCAGCATAAAAATGAAGACACTTCCTCTTTTATTCTGACATGAGGTGGTTGCACTTTTGTTTAAATGGACGAATGCCATGAAAGAAAAAGCTTGCCATAAACTTGTCTATAAGCTACATATGGTTGGATAGTTTGTAAACCTCAGTTCTTATAGTGCCTGAGATAATTATACTTCTGCAGCCGGTACAAGAAAACTTCATACAATTCTACTGAGCTCAGCTACTTTTATCAGAGCACGTATCGCAGGTAGTTTAACCTGCAGCTACAATTATGTTGACTTCTTTTTACAGTAAAGCATCTTGGTGCTCAGGTTTGGATTCTCTTCAGCTTCTATATAACCCTGTCAAATACTGAAGGCAGAAACACTGAAGCTTCAACACTGTCCACAACATCTAATGAGTCAAAACAATGAAATCAAATAGGATGTGTTTTTTAAATGTTCTTAGCAATTCGAGAAAAAGCTACTTCAATCTTCAACGGAAAAAAAAACAACAGCTTGTGACGTTTCCCCCAACGTGCAGAGAGAACATCAACCGGAAGGTCACTTATCAGGGAGCTTGACTGAATATTGATAAGCTCTCATTTGTGTGTAGCTGCATCTTCATCGCATCAAAATCTCACACGTTCCTCTGCAACAAGACTGATTATTGGTAAAGGTGGAACAAGGGTGACCTCTGCTGATTCAACAAAAAAAAAAATCAGACCTGCATAAAACCGGAGACGAGGGGGTTCGAGCACTGGAGTTTTAGATGAGAGAAGGAAAAGAAGTCCAGAGTATTTTCTTTCTCATGACTGAGCACATCAGTCCAGATGCTGAGGAGAGGGAGGCACAGGCAATGGAGGTTTTGGAGATAGGCGGGAAAGGGGAACCGAGTAGCTTATTTCACCAGCCTTTTGGCCACATCTGCATAAGCGATTTCTATCTCTTTGTCACTGGGGCAGGTGTTGGTGAACTCTTCACGTGTGTAAGCATTGTTCAGGTACTTCCAGATGGCCGTCATCTCTTTGGGGATGTCGAAGCCTCTGTACTTCTTGGCCACAACCTGGTTGGAAATACAAAGCCAAATCTGAAATCCACAACAGCAGCTAGACCTGAAGCTAACTTAAAATAAATAAATCGATATAGACTTTATAGATCTACCTTAACTATGTGCAGTTTGGGGAGCAGGTTGCAGTCGGCCAAGGTCATTTCATCCCCGTCCAAAAACCTGCGGTTGGAGACCTTGATGTCCTCTATGCTGTTGTGGTCGATTTCATCAGGAAGTGGGGAGCGGAGATACTCATCCAGCTTCTGTAGTGTCTTCAGCAAACCACGCTCCAGAGCTGCAACAGATTTAAAAAAAAACAAACACATTTTTACTGCATAAAGTTAAACCTTTACGTTGACCAACCACATGGGGGCAGCATCTCATCAAGTATTGTGCGTTATAAGAACACGCACACAAAAAAAGAAAGAAAACGTGTTTTACTTTTATCCAGCCATACAAAACTTGATGTGTGTGTGTGTGTGTGTGTGTGTGTGTGTGTGTGTGTGTGTGTGT